TTTATCCCTCGCCTTTTTGTGCTCTCTGTTTCCGTTTCGCCTGTCTTCTTGGCGTCTGTTCGAGTCTGAGCCTTTAAGCACCGTAGCAAAAAGAGAAGGGAGAAGAGAAAGAAGAGGGTCTAAATAAGAGCGGATTGAATAACGCGCGAGATTCGGCGTCAAATATCGAGATTACTGTTATTTCTACGGGACGAGCGTTGCGAGGAAACAGCGTCGACTATGCAGAGGTTAGAATCATGTCGATTCACTCGTATTATATAATGATTGGTTATTCGACGACCGGAAAGTTTCCGTCGTCGCCAACGCGATACTCACGTGCGAGGGTCGTCGTCGTCGGCGGCGACGGAGTCGTCGTTGTCGTCGTCGTCGTCGTCGTCGTCGTCGTCGTTGTGGGAGGAATTATTTCTGCGGAATAAATTATGAATTTAATCAAATTAGACACGTATACGCGGGCGCGTGATTTGCGTAATGGCGGGCTGGCAATCGAGTGTAACGTGCGCCCCCCGTGATTCATCAATTTACTCTTATTTACTCTAGCTTTCCGTCATGTGTACTAACAGGTATAAATCACCCAGCACGCCCACACAGACTCGCATGGTAATAATCTCATATATATACACGCCTAAGCCATCGTCGAAAGATTTACGCCCCTCTCATGCATATATGCACACCTTCTGGTCAAGCATAAATACTCACCTCCGAGGAATAGGTGCGCACATGCGCCCCGGAGCGTGCGTGGGCGTGTGTGCGTGCGGGAGTGCGAGTATGCGCGGGCGTGCGTGCGGGAGTGAGAGCACGCGTGGTGTGCGTTTATGCGTGCGTGTGTGGATGCGCGTGTACGCGCGCGTATATGTGCGCGTGTGCGCGTGTGAAGGGGTGGGGTGCGTGTATGCGAGGCCATGTTGATGTACGTGTACGCGCGTGTGTGGAGGAGTTTTGGGTATGTGTTTGGCCGTGCGTAGTTACCGTAGAGTTTCACGGTGGCTTGATCGCTTCCTAGGCTGTTATTTACAATGCACCTATAGACGCCGTAGTCGTCCGATGATACGACCCTGACGTGAAGCTCAGCCGTTGTCGTCGTTGCTCCTGTGTGCGTGTAATGATGGAGTCATGATTATTACATAAGTCTCAGCGCATCGCTGTCAACGCATAAGCGCGCTGGTGATTCTTTCACGGTGATGAACCCAGACGCGTCATCCCCTCCCAAAAGCCTTCACCGAGTGTCAAGACTACGGGAAGACGCTTCTAGACTGGTTCCCTGTCTATTGGTCATCGACACTGCGGCTCGCAAGAGAAGATCGGGGTGGGGTTGAGGATAGGGGAGCCGTCTAAGATTTTCTTCTTGCATTTTTGCGTCAATATTATCTCTCGTTGGCTCGCTATATATCGAACGCGCTGCGGTTCCGTCGTTACGCTCACGCAGTGCGAGCCAGAAAACTGTCGAGCGAGAAAAGTTGGTCGCACGTACGCGACGTAGTGGCTTAGTTACCTTTGGCGAGAGACTTTGACGCGAACTTTGATTCGTCGGCCTTCAGCGGGAGGCCTTCCCTGTTCCAGGCGACCGTCGGCTCCGGGTAAGCGCTGGCGTAGCAACGTAGCGTCGCGTTGTCGCCTCGCACGCAGCCGACGCTCTCTACGGTCGCCGCTATCATCGGTACGACTGCCGACGAAAGAGACAAAAGGTTTTTTTATCATCGCTTCGTTCTATCTCTCTCTCTTTTTTTTCTCTCTCTCTCTCTTCCTCTCGCTCGCGTTCTGCCTCTCTCTCTCTCTCTCTTTCTATTTTTCTCGCTCTCTCCCTCTGTCTGTCTGTCTGTCTCTTTTTCTCTCTCTTTCTCTCTCTCTCTGTCTGTCTGTCTCTTTTTCTCTCTCTTTCTCTCTCTCTCTCTCTCTCTCTCTCTCTGTCTGTCTCTCTATATTTCTCTCTTCTTTTCTCTCTCTCTCACTCTCTCTGTCTCTTTCCTCTCTCTCTCTCTCTCTCTCTCTCTCTCTCTCTCTCTCTCTCTCTCTTTCTCTCTTTCTCTTTCTCTCCCCTTCTCTTTCTCTCCCCTTCTCTTTCGCTCCTCCCCTCTCTCTCTTTCTCGCACCTCGGCTATCTCAGGACGATTGCGAAAAGACGCGCCACTTTTCGGCCGAGAGTCGTATGTTATATACACGACAACGCACCGCCGACGCGCATCACCGTAACAGCTCATCGGACGCGGCAACCCCCTAACCTTACGCCGATATACGTCGCCGTGATCCCACGCGCTGCGCGAGTATGAAAAAAATCGTGGCAGTTTCGTGCGAAAAGCATTTGATTCTGCTGAAAGCCGTGAAGCAATTTTAAGAGTGAATGCGCGCACTGCAGCAACCGAGCGCTCTCTTTCGATGGTGATCTATGCTGGAGCGATGTAACATCCATATATACAGTAGATCTAGACACGCTGCCGAGTGATTACATTTACAAATGCGACAAAACTCGTCGTCTATCTAAACGGGATGATTAGCGCACGCGGGAAATTTCAACAAAGCCTTTGGCTCGACGTGGAGCGCTGCCAATGATGGCACCTTGTTACTTATAACGTGTAACAATACACGTGTTGTTATCTCGTTGCTCGTTTCGCCTGCCTTGTCATTTAGCTCGTCTTTAACTCTAACGGCTTTTCTTACGATCTAACTCTTAATAATCGGATATATCAGGGAAAGTACATCAGCAGCTACATCGGCACTTCTCACTGCTCTCATCTCGTTACTCGCTACTTTTACCTTATCTTTTAGTTCGACTTGGCTTTCTTACGATCTTAATTTTAATAACCAGCTACATCCGCAAACGTTAAACTACGAGTGAAGACAAACAAATGCGACAGCGTCGTGAGTATTTATTAAATAAATCTAATATATATATATATATACACACACACACACATTTATATAATATATATAAATTTAATAATTCACTCTCTTTCTTTCTTCGCCTTATTCATTCTCTCTCACTCTGTTTTTCTTGCGCAATTTTCTCACTTGTTTTGACGACGGCTTTATAAGCCGACGTCGTTGTGTATATGTATATGTGACTGTTCGTCGACCGGGAATCTTTTCACAATCCGATCATGTTTTTTTCATGATCGTAAGTGACAACCTGAACTAATCCGATTATAACGTTATATCGTCTTATGCGTTATATTATCTTGTCTATACGAATGATCGCCTTTACTAAATTCCGCTAATTTACATCGTTGCTGTCGCCGCCGCTGCTGCCGCCGCCGCCGACGACGACGACGTGGATGACGACGACAACGACGACGACAACGACGAGGGTATCGACGACAACGACGACGACAACGACGAGGATGACGACGACAACGACGAGGACGACGACGACAACGAAGACTACGGGGATGACGAGGACGACGAAGGCTTCTATACCACAACCACAACGACGACGACGATGACGATGACGATGATAATGACGTCGACGATGACGGCGATCACAATGACATCGATAGACACTACAATAACAATGACAATGATAACGATGACGGCAATGATGACGACTATTACTATAACGATGACGACGATGACGTTGCCAACTATGGGACGATGACGGCAATGATGACGACTATTACTAGCTCTCCGAGTGCTCTAGTTTTGTATATTTTTATTTGATTTTAGGTTATTTTTCATTTTTTATTTTCCATCACCAAAATCCTATCTATCTATTACATATATTTTTATTTGATTTTGTATTTTATTAACATTTTTATTTATTTTTATTTTTATTTATAAAAAAAACAGTTTCGAGTTCTAAGGCAAGATGCCTTAAACAGTTACGACTTCGTGGTGTTCCCTCGGCGTGGTGGTGGTCGTCTTGCTAATTGTTCATCGGTATCCGCTGTAGAACGCGTCGTCCTCGTCTTCGTCGTCGTCGTCGCTGATCTCCCACTTGTCTTCCAACACGAGGTGCGCCGGCCGGTGTTGGTTTTTCCATGAAATCCCTGGCAGTGGCGCGTCCTCCACGGGTACCACCTTAAGTGCGTAGTGTTCGCTGGTTAGGTGCACTACGGTAAAACCTACTACTACGTACGATACGATACGGTACGGTACGTACGGTACGGTGAATACTAGGATGGCGGCCATTATTAGACTACAGCCCGCAATTGATATGATGATGTTGACTTTACAAGTGCGTAGTGTTTGCTGGTTACGTGCCCTACGGTGTAACCCGGGTTGAGGCGCCGGAACTGCAAGACGTCGTGCAGGAAATGGGTCCAGCTGCTATACGCCACTTGGCCATGGCTGGGGCCAAAGATGAGGCGCGGCGTCGGGTACGGGGGCCTGTAGCGGCGGTCTGGTGACGGCGGCGTGTTGGTCACCGGCGCTACCGTGGTGCACGGCCTGACCGTGGCGATGAGCGGTGCGGTCTGGGGGCGGCGCCGACATGGGCACTGTGTGCACTGCGTGCACATTGTGGCGGGGGTGTTGCGGGTCGACGCTGTCGCGTATTTTTCGTCAGTGGCGTTCTGCGCCTCACAATAGCGCTTCTGAGGCGGCTCCTCCTCGACGTCCCGTGCTGTGGCGTGATCGTGGGGGCGGCGCCTCGCATCGTCGCTCCGTGCGTTGACCTGGCGCAGCGCCTTCTCCAACTCGGCTGTCCAATCTTCTCCGTCGTTGCAGGGGAGGTGGCTTGTGGCTGCTCCGACGTTCATGGTGACTGTTGCTTAAAAGAGTCTAGATTACTCTACTGTGATACATTGCGCGTTTATGCCAACATGACAATGGTTAATGGCACTGTGATACATACACATACACATAAAACAACGCCGCACTATACGGTTGAAACATGTGCGTTAGTGCGTAGGTATCTGGTAACAAATACGTGTGGGTATAGACGATTTGTTATACAGTAAGTACAGTTGTATGTAGTAAAATCCTAGAGGCTACTGTCCCTTTAACTGCTGTTGAATTATTTTTACTGCGGTTAAATTATGTGTAACAAGGCCTCTGATTGGGTAAAAGGGCAATAATTTAACCTTGGTTGAATTATTTCTACCGCGGTAAAAATAATGATTTCTGAGCACGATGGCCAACCATATGCGTGAGCTCACTCACACCTACACTACGTCACGTCTGCCTGCGAATCTACACATCAACTCGCTACACACACCAATAATGCTATTATAGTCGCTGATAGCATGAAAAATCAGATATATAATGACAGCTACATGTATAAATGCTGTAATGGGAAGAACGATGTGGCAATTTATGTCACCGTGGTCTGGGATATAATTTACAAATTCCTTTGCACCATTTTACAAATTCTTGTTCCATTCAGAAATGGCATAACATCCATCAAGCCTTGGCCATACATGCTAGCTATTACCTGGTGAATCACCCGATGTGATAATGTTCAACAAAACACCCTTCAAGGCCAGATGGGCAGCAGCAATAACAACATCAACAACAACACCAACAATAACAATGGTAACTACCGAATGGATTATTATCACACATTGCTGTTGTATTGCTCCTGACTCCGTGTGGCAAACCAACAGCAATATTTGCTTTCCACTGTTGCTGTCAAACCGATTAGTTATTTGCAATTCAGCCAGACTGCGGTGACCACTATTAGGAGTAACACCCACACCTGCGAGTAACCGCTTGTCGCCTGCACGTGCATACTTGCCACGTGCGAGAAAAACACTTGACACCCGCGCCACAACTGCGTTCTATCTCCGGGCGAACGCTCCTTACCCGTGAACACTCGTCACCTACGATCACACTTTGTTATCTATCATCACACCATTTCCTTCGGGGTGAGCACAGCGACCTATCGACGAACTAACGGAAACCCCACCGCCGCCGCTCAACCTGCCTCCACACCGTCTCCTCAACTCCCCTGTCGGAGCAGCCCCCCCCCCACGTGTACACCCCTGACATGCCGACCAGTGTGTTAGATGCGTCTAGTGCAAAACCATGCGGCCAGCGCCGGCGGCGACGCCCCCTACGCTGACGTCGCGCTGTGGCAGGCAGTTGCCCGTGCAGCCGCCGCCGCGCAGCTTGCAGGAGCCGGTGCACGTGCTGCCGCCGGCGCAGCTGCGCTGCTGAAGCTGTGCAAACTGCTGCTTGAGACGCTGCCTCAGCTGTAGACGCTCAGTGGCAAGCTGCCTCTCGCGCACGCGGTACTGCCGTATCTCCTCCTCCGATATGAGTGGGTCCTCCTCGCCGGACGAACACGAGCACTGAAGAAGAGATGAAAGTGTCAATGACACTGTAGTCTGTAGGTCACCACAAAAAAGGACACAAATAAGTGAGTAAGAAGAAGTCAGTTTTAATTGAGCAACCATCGACGTACATTATAGAAACGATTGCCATCGGTATATCGCAATAATAATTTATAAACCAAAATGAATCACAATTTGTGACCGTAGATGGCGCTATACCCGCTTTGTAGCGATGGCGTTTGAAATAAGTAGGTTATGCTGGGTTCCGACATGTTTTGTAAATCTTTACTCTAATATAGACGTTTTATCGGCAGGGTGGAGAGGAAATACCAATTTTGCATTAAAGATATTGTCAATGAAATCTTGTAAAACGAACCAGACGAGTGTGACACCAGACTGTTTGTGTCTATATAATATGCTATATAATTGCCAAACCCTACCTAATTTGCATAATTTTTTTTTAAATATCAAAACCCCTAGCCCTTATTCATTCACATACCAAAAATGAGCAAAATCCGTTGAACCTGAACTGACTAATGGCAATTCCCATTTTTGCCAAAAAATTGCCGTGGCTCGAAAGTACGTCGACTGGCTAGGACGTTTAATATGGGAGCATAGCAGTAACAACTATACCCAATTTCAAACATGTGGGCCAAACGATTCCTGAGTTATCGTTGAGCGAAGCGAAATGTTGACAGATGGACGGACGGACGTACGACGACCCATGGCAATAGCTCAGCTTGACGATGTCAAGGTGAGCTAACCGGACGGACGTATGACGTACGACGACCCATGGCAATAGCTCAGCTTGACGATGTCAAGGTGAGCTAATGAGAGAGGGGTTGTGAGACAGCGTCGGCGAGAGAAAGAGAAAGGTGGAAAACGAGATGCAGAGGCAGAGGTAGAATGAGTGGAAGGGAGTGCAGGAAAGTGAGAGGAAAGGAGTGGGATGGAGAGGAGAGAGCATGGGTGAGTGACAAGGAGAGGGAGATGAGAGTGCGAGACAGTGAGGAGAGGAAGGGAGAGAAAAATGAAGAGGGTCAATAACAGGGAGTACGAGTTAAAAAGAGAGAGAGAGAGAGAGAGAGAGGGTTCGAGATAGATAGGGAGGGTGCATGTGCAAACATGCATGTGTGAGGGCATAATTAAACAGTGTAACCCACAACAGACAAAAAATGTAGGAAGACACATACGCACGCATTCATACAGTTCTTAAAGTGATTCGTCACCTTAAATAATAAAAGTAAAAAAATTATGTCCACTTTTTCATAAAATATAAGTGGTTAAATTTCTGCATTATACTTCATATTTTGCTATTCCGTTCGATGTGAACAAACCCTCATGACTCATACACAGCCCATAGCAAGCATTTAATGTAATGATCAATATATCAAATCGCCCAGATTTTGTGGATTTTTAACTAGTTGAAAAACAATCTTATCAGGTAAGAATTTGAGGATACATTTAGTGCCGTTAGTACTTACTTTTCACGTAAATAAATTGTAACAAAATCTTTTACAAATATACACCATAGAAAATTCGTGACGTAGTCAATTTAAAGCGGTGCAGAAGCCTATCTAAGCTCGGGTTGCTGTTGGCTGCGCGATGCACTTACATTGAGCATGTCTTCCAGGCTGGGCGTCGCGAACGGCGGGAGCTTGCTAGTCACGCCAGCAGGGCTGCTGGCCGGGCTGCGCGCCTCCAACGAGCAATGCTCACAAGGGTCATCACCTACAGGTAGGTACAGCGCGTGAACACACAGCATGTCAGCCCACACGCACCGTCCAGCACAAGCTGCTACTTACCAAACCCCCACCTATTTGTGACATTGCAAAATGTAGATTGGAATGTGCCAAAGTTTACATTACCCCAACCGCCAAGAAAGCATAAAGCGGCAGGCATTTATAACCAATGGAACGATTCTTCAGTTAACAGTTCAACAGTACACAGTACTTTAGAAGCCAATATTTTTTAGTGATTTACCCTTAGAGAAATGGTAAGCTAGTAACAAATGTTACTTACAGGTAAATAGTTTGGTTCTTGATGCACAGACGGTGAGTATTATACAACGATGTATTTATTATTATATGAACTTACGAGTTTTATATAACTAACTCGGCCCATGGGTAACAGGGGAGGGGGTGCATGACTCACCCTCGGACGCGCACGCGTTGCACACGATGTCGGAGCCGCTGCGGGAGCTGCTGGGTGAGCCCCACGCGTCGCTGCTGGCTGACGAGTAGCCATAGTCGCTGCGGTTGCTGCTGATCGCACCGCCGCCACCACCGCCGCCGTACACCAACCCTGCCGCTACCTTCTTGTCCGTCATCTAGACAACGAAATATAAATCTACGTCACAGGCATGTGAAAAGTTCTCCCACGAAACGTTCCCCCACTGTAGACGAGTTCGGGATAACGGGGAGACGGCACGGGACGCTGATGCGCAGAAATTGACCTGCTATGGAAACAGATTACAGATTGAGCTAGGACGCATCACGATCGAATTGTGTCACGGACAAATTCCTCAACACAAAGTATGCAGCTCTGGCTTTGGTTCAGCTGTAAATAGACAATGCCAAAACACGCGGAGGTGACAACAGCGAAAGCGTCGCCGGATGTAGATGTAATCGCACCTGTTTCTGAGTCTTGCCGTCCGCTGCGCCGCCGGTCACATTATCCTGCCGCTTCTTCGACTTCTTGCCCTTCGCGCTTGTTGCCGTCGCCTTGACCGCCGCGCCGGCCTCCTGCAGAGTCGCCAGCTTGCCGCAGCACAGCGACATGCACGCGCACGCCTGTCCCTGCTTCATCTTGCTCGCTCCCTCCCCGGAGGTGGGCGACAGCACACACGCGTGCATGTGCCGCGTCGCCGCGCTGCCCAAATTCACTGCGAGGTGCGACGGCTGGCCGATGTGTTGCTTCGCCGGCAGAGTGCAGGCGCCGTGCGCCGTCGCATGGCTTCCCAGTTTCGCGCCGCTCCAGGTGAAGGGCGCGGCTTTCGTACCGCGACACGCTGCCGGTGCCTTTGCGGTATACTGACACGTTGCCGACACCTTCTTGCCCGCACACGCTGCCAAGCCATCGCACGCCTTCGCTCCCGCGCTACCGGGACATCCCCTGCGAGACTCATTACACCCCGGCGGGGCCTTGTTCTCCCTACCACCAGGTGGCGCACTGCTGCAACTACACCGCACGACGTTGCAACTGGAAGACTCGGTGGAAGATGCCTGCAGTTTTAGCCGCCTATGCGTAGCGTCGCTGCACTTGGCTTTGGGGAGAGAGGAGCCATTGCACTTACAGCTGGGGAGAGGCGACTCCTCTCCTTTTCGACGCGCTTCATACTGCAAAGACAAGAAACACCGAGCATGAGAATGCAACGCAAGAGTGAAAGCAGATAGAAAACTCGCCAGACACCAAGCTGTGATGAAGGCTCGATAATCCACTATATCTGAATAACTGTTTGTAGCATACTCCCCCCCCCCACCCAGAGTGGCAGGTAATCCTCAATTTTTCTCCCCTACTACCTCTACCAAAAGTATAATCACTTGGCAACATTCACATTGTTTTTCCACCTACCTGACCTAATCTTTCAACCTCCTCACACCCCTCCTTCCAAGACCACCAACCTCTTCACTCCTTTTCTCTCAAGGATCCACAAACGCCTCGCTCCTTCCAGTATCACCGATCTCCTCCACACCTCCTGCCTCACACAGACCCCCATTATTACCTACCTGCTCTTCCCCCTCCTCCTTCTCCTCCTCCTTCTCCTCCCTTTCTCTCAAGGATCATCATAGTCCTCGCTCCTTCCAGTATCACCGATCTCCTCCACACCTCCCGCCTCACACCAACTCCCGTCATTACCCACCTGCTCTTCCTCCTCCTCCTCCTCCTCCTTGTCTTCCTCCTACTCCTTTTCTCTCAAGGATCCACAAACTCCTCGCTCCTTCCAGCATCACCGATCTCCTCCACACGTTCTGACTCACACACACTCCCGTCATTAACCACCTCCTCCTCCCGTCATTACCCACCTCCTCTTCCTCCCGTCATTACCCACCTCCGGCTCCTACCATCATTACCCCCCTCCTCCTCCCGTCATTACACACCTCCTCTTCCTCCCGTCATTACCCACCTCCGACTCCTACCATCATTACCCCCCTCCTCCTCCCGTCATTACACACCTCCGGCTCCTACCATCATTACCCTCCTCCTCCTCCTCCTCCTCCTCCCGTCATTACCCACCTCCTTTTCCTCCCGTCATTAACCACCTCTGGCTCCTACCATCATTACCCACCTCCTCTTCCTCCCGTCATTACCCACCTCCTCTTCCTCCCGTCATTACCCACCTCCTTTTCCTCCCGTCATTAACCACCTCTGGCTCCTACCATCATTACCCACCTCCTCTTCCTCCTCCTCCTCCTCTTCCTCGTCTTCGCGGTCCGCCTGCTCGGCGCTCTCCTTGTCGGCTTCGGCGGCGAGCGCGCGGTTGTTACGCCGCCGCTGCTTCTTCTTCTGCCGCTTTAGCTCGCGCCGCACCTCCTTGAGGTGCTCCTCCTGCACGATCTCGTTGTAGAGCAGCTCCAGGTTGCTCACGCCCTGCTTGTTCTCGATCGCAATCTGAAATGCGTCGCAAGACAACGAATCGCGACGGATTAGCGTGCGAGTGACCGGCAACAAGCTGACAACAAGTCACGAACAGGTGACTTGCAACAGAACGGCAACAAATTGACAAGTTGCGAACAATGGACTTGCAACATAATTGCAACAAACTGCAAAGAAGCCAGTGGCAAGAAATGAATAACAAATCACAAACGTGTGACAGGCGGCAAATACCACAGAAGCAACCTGCAACAGATTGTAAACAAGAGGCCAAAACCAAATCGACGACAAATTGTAAACGTAAAACGTAAAGAAATGATTTTCAACCGATCAGAAACAAATCACAAGCAAGCCAAATTTTTTTTACCTGTAAGCAAGCGAATGATATACATACTAGTTCTCTTTCACTGTGTGCACAGCACACTGTCAACGACCACATTGTCAAGTCCACAAGACGTGCGGATTTTTGCGCAGGCAGTCAAACCCCCTGTCAGTTGCTTGCACCACACTCTCACCTCGTAGCTCTTACGTAGGCAGTCTACACCCAGGTAGAAGAGCAGCTGCCAGGTTTGGTCCTCGGCTCGCACGCGCTGGTAGATGCGATGCAGACGCTCGTACAGGTAAATGCCGACGCAGGTGAGCACCTCTTCCTGAGCGATGTCGATCGTCTTCGCATGCCGCTCCCTGCCGCTGAAACAAGACAAGAACAACTCTGTGAGCACTCGCTATTACGCTGCTGGTTACTACGCTGCTGGTTACAAACTGCCCTGGCTTTTTGTGTCGGCGTCTTGAGATTTTCACCTCCAACATTCTCTTCATTCCTCTTACTACCTATCAATCAAACAATTACTAAATATTAATATTACTACTAAAGCTACCACCATGACAACCACCACTCCCCCAACTACATATCAATCAAACTACTATTAGATCAATATTACTACTGCAACTAGGCATCCGACAACCACCCCTATTCCTACTACACATCAATACTACTACTAAAACTATAACAACTACCCCAGCAACCACCACTACAACTACCACAGCAATCACTACTACAACTACCACAGCAACCACTACTACAACTACCACAGCAAATTATTATTAGTAGTAGTAGTAGTAGTAGTAGTAGTAGTAGTAGTAGTAGTAGTAGTAGTAGTAGTAGTAGTAGTAGTAGTAGTAGTAGTATTTAGTTCATTATTAAATGTTTTTTTTGTTTTAATCACATTCTTTTCTAAGCTTTCTACAGCACCTACCGGGCGGTGATAGATTAATCTCCGATGCATCCAGCCTCTTCCACGTGATATTTGGCTTCGGGTTTCCTGTCGCTTCGCATTCCAAAGACACGTCGGCTCCCTCCTGAACCTGTATCTCTAACTGAGTGTGGTCGGTCGTGATCAACTTCGGAGAGACTACAATGAAACGTTAATTAACTATTTTTTGAAATGCTTTAATATGCATAAGCTTAATATTTGCGAGGGATTACGAATGGTTTGTTATGCACATGCGCCTACGGCAATGATGATTCAATGCTCTTCTTTAATTATCTTTCTAAACACGTCATAGTATTTTTCAACAAGTAACATAATTAGCTGATTTTGCATAAACCGAATCAGCATGACAACTTTCGCGTTACAGTTTAATAACAACTGATCTAATAAAGCGTATGACGTGCGTGCGTGGAAAATCGCATCGAGTGAATCCTTTTCGAATGCGAACCATTCTACAAAAATTTTGTTTAAACGGTTTCATCCATTAAATACGTCGTTTGTTGCTGTGTTTTCCGTGAGATTTTACGCACTCACAACTAACTGTAAGTTTCAATCTAACGCATCAGACCGACGCATCTGTATTGGTACATTCCAAAGTAGATTTTAATGTGATCTTCATTTGCGGATTCGACGATGGTTGTTATCTAATCAAAAAAACACTAGTGGAGAATCTAAGGACAATGATACGACGGTCTCACCCATAACTCTTCTATTTTCATTTTCGTTTACACTCCGGCGTTTATAGTCGCGGACGAGTTGCAGGGCGATAAAAAAAATCCCAGCCGCGTTATAAAAATTTACGGAGCGGCAAACTACATCCGTAGATTCGATGACAGCGCCCGCTGGGAAGATCTCGCCCATGCGTCAACGCTGCACGTATACACGTAACCTAATCGAATCTCGGCGCGCGCGGTGTTCGCACGGATATAGTGTTGTCGCCGGGGACGTCGCTAAGTCCTAAACAAACCCACGGGATAATTCCCACTCGGCGGCCTCTAATTCCCGACCGGGTTCCTCCTAGCTCTATCCCGGGAGGAGGGAGAGCCAACTCGCCGACACGCAGCTGCGCAAACAGCGTTTAAATATTCACGGCGAAAATCACCGACGTCGTATTTTGTTTCACCGTCGGTCGATAACGGGTGTTCTATCGAACACGCACGCGCGCGCACGAGCACGCACGCGCACGAGCACGCACGCGCACGCACGCACGCAGGCACGCACGCACGCACGCACGCACGCACGCGCGTGTGTGTGCACGCAGGCGGGCGGGTTGTCACTATCGTGACGGCTATTGGCATTCTAGCGAGAAACACAGAGCGCTGGCCGGTGTTTCGATATCACTTTGTGTGCGTATATATATATATGTATACATATACGTATCGCGATGACGCCTGCAGCTTATTGTATAAGTCCGATCGTAGAGATGACTTCGAGCGTGCCCTATGCGAGACGCACACGCACGCACGCACACGCACGCACGCACGCGCTGACTTTCTAGACCGTGACGGTTTGCGCATGTTTACATCCGTCGCAAAATCGTGCGCGCCTGATCTTCCGACTGATATATCTAGCAGCAAACCCATGAATAAATAAATCGCAATTCACACTCGCTCTCTCTCGCGCTTCTTCATGCGCGACATACGGAACTTCGGCGGGGCGAAAAATCCATACCAGAATAAAAAAAATCCGACTGTAAATATGAAATAGCTGTACCTGATATATATCAAACGCTACTTGGGGGACCTTGCGGGGATATGTCGTGGAAACTCGTGGTTAAGATGCGACCAGTGCGAGGCATATACGCGGCAATTTCAACTTTATCGAGTGGGCTTCTGCGTGTTTTTTTCGCTCGTTGTTTGTGTATTTTAATGGAGGGAGCGAGCGCGTTACGGGAAGGCGATCCGTGGTTGTGTAAGGGAGAGAGGTGCGGAGGTGCGGCGGCGGCGGAGGCTCGCTGATGGCATGATCAACAACGTCGATGGCCCGCGCTAACAGTAGAAGTTTGCTCAGCATCGATCGCATATTAGCTCGTCATTAATGGGGCGGGAGTATGTGTCTGTATATGTGTGTGTGTGTGTGTGTGTGTGTGTGTGTGTGTGTGTGTGTACGTGCGTGCGTGCGTGCGTGTGTGTGTGCGTCCGTGTGTGTGTGCGTGGGCGCGTGCGTGCATGTGGAGAAGGAGAAGAAGAAGAAGAAGAAGAAGAAGAAGAAGAAGACAGCACACATCACGATACACATCAGACCAGGCCCCCGATACTCACGTAGAATCTTCAGCTCTGTGATCATGTACTTCACGGGATCGGTGTTGATCTGACACATGTAGAAGCCAGCGTCCGAGGGCTTCGTGTCAGCGATCGTCAGCGCCCACACGTGCGTGCTGTCGCGGTGCACGCCGATGCGACTGTCCTGCAGCACGACACTGTTGTGCAGCGCGTAGATGATCTTCGTATCTGGCCGCAACCAGACGATCTGCAAGTAATAATGTGGGGAGGCGTTACTCGAGTCTCGTCGTTGTCGTCGCGTTCGTTGTCGTCATCGTCGTCGACTCCGTTGTCGTTGATGTCGTCGTCATTGTCATCAACGTCGCCGTCGTTTTTGCTGTCATCGCTATCGTCGTCGTTGTCACTGTCATCGTCGGCATCATCGTCGTCGTCGTTATCATTATGGTCGTTGTCGTCATCGTCGTCGTCATATCGTCGTCGGTAGTTTCGTGTTTATTGTTATGAGGTCGGTTACATTATTGCACCATCGTCAGCGTTGCCGTCGGCGTCGACGGTGACAACACAACTATGCCATCGTCAAAGTCTCACGCCGACGAGTCGATGCCAGTTCGCCGCTGTGCCGAGTGTCTTTTCGCCTGCCGAGGAGTGCAGTTACTAATTGCGACAGCGAGGCGACGGAATGATGGCTCGCTGGAGATACAGTTTCTACTTCAAGCCTGCCTGTCTTATAAACGCCAACACCAACACCTGCGCCCTCCCTGTTACAGAGCCTGCTGTGGTCGCCTATCGCCGATACATATATATCTGTGTGATGTGTGTGTATGTGTGTGGGTGTGTGTGTGGTGTGTGTGTGTGTGTGTGTGTGTGTGTGTGTGTGTGTGTGTGTGTGTGTGTGTGTGTGTGTGTGTGTGTGTGTGTGTGTGTGTGTGTGTGTGTGTGTGTGTGTGTGTGTGTGTGTGTGTGTGTGTGTGTGTGTGTGTGCGTGTGCGTGTGTACGCGCGTGTGATACACAGATGCGTACCTTTATATCTGTTTCAGAGATGGATGTCTATATCTATGTACGTTGCAGACGGATTTCGGCTAGTCGCTTGTTTGTACGGCTATCGGGCTAATATGCATACGTGCGATAATAGCAATGCTGGTGTCTGATGTTTAATACATTTACTGCATTAATCACATTAGAATATTCAGGACCTCGCGCTTCCGTACAATCTGTCCGCTGGGCATTGCTTGCATTAGCGCTACAACGCGCCCGCGTGCCACGTTATTCAATTCATCAAACTTGCATGGACGAGTGAGCTTAGAGATTGCTTAGCGCTTCTTCTTTTTTGGTGGATATAATCTGTGAAAAAATGCACATAATGAACAATTTTCGTTGTCTCTCATGGAATTGGATTAGGCTGGTCGTGTGTTGGCATGCTAGACGCTCACAGAGGGCGCTATCCTGCCACGCTGATACACGCACAGAGATGTGTAGGTAAGGAGAGAGAGATAGAGAAAGAAAGAACGAAAGAAAGAGAGAAAGGAAGAAAGGAAGGAATGAAGGTAGGAAGAAAGAAAGAAAGACCAAAGTGAACGAGCGTAGAGATGTGGCAAAGGGAGAGGGGGTGAGAGAGGGGAAAGCGAGAGAGTGATTAGAGAGATAATTAGAGATAAAGGAAGGTGATGGTGGAGAGAGAGAAAAAGAGACAAGTAGAAAGGGAAAGAGCTCTCTCTCTTTCTCACAGAAAAGCGGACAGAAAAAAGAGAGCAAGGCGTGGGGTAGAAAAGTCAAGATGACATAGAGAGAAACAGAGGTACAGAGAGGATGCGGAAAGAGATGAGAGGACTGACAGGGGATGCAGGCGGGGTGCTGAAAGAGGGGGAGACTGGGAGGGGATGCTAGCAGGGTGCTGAGAGAGGAGGAGACTGAGAGGGGGATGCTAGCAGGATGCTGAGAGATGGGGAGACTGATAGGAGGATGCTAGCAGGATGCTGAGAGAGGGGGAGACTGAGAGGGGATGCTAGCAGGGTGCTGAGAGAGGGAGAGACTGAGAGGAGAATGCTAGCAGGGTGCTGAGAGAAAGACACTGAAAGGGGGATGCTAGCAGGGTGCTGAGAGAGGAGGAGACTGAGAGGAGGATGCTAGCAGGGTACTGAAAGAGGGAGAGACTGCGAGGGGGATGCTAGCAGGAGGCTGAGAGAGGAGGAGACTGAGAGGGGGATGCTAGCAGGGTGCTGAGAGAGGAGGAGACTGAAAGGGGGATGCTAGCAGGGTGCTGAGAGAGAGAGAGAGAGGGACTCGCAGGGGATGCTAGCAAGATGCTGCTGCAGAGGCGCGCGTGCTCTCTCGAGCTGTTAGCATCTCCGCGTGCTAACAACATTACGCTGTCACCAGCTTGAACACCTCTCGCGACCTCTGACCCACCCACCCTCACAGCGTAATGACGTCAAATCACTACTACAACTACCACAGCAATCACTACTACAACTACCACAGCAATCACTACTACAACTACCACAGCAATCACTACTACAACTACCACAGCACCTACTAGTAGGCCTACTACCCCTTAACACCGCCACTACTATCCTTACTACATACACTACGAAGCAAACCAACTTACCGAAGCCGCCCTGACATTTTTTACCAAAACTTTCGAGACTCGTTCGCACGTTTCGCTTGCACCCCGCAACCCACGCGCCATGCAGACAGACACACACGCACATCTATGTGACGGAGAATGAGACTCACGAGTACCTGCCCAGCAACTCGGGCTCGGCGCGGCTGATCAAGTTGTCGATGAACTCAGTGTTGCCGAGCACGTGTACGTGTCGATCTTGCGCGCAGCAGCGCAGGCCGTCGTACAGCGCCGCGCAGTAGCCCTTCTCCTTCGTGCTGTCCACCTCACCGACGAGCAGACTGTAAGCACGTAGCACCTTCGACCGACACTCAGCACAGAACCTGAGATATACAACGACCACACGCAGGTTAGAACCAGACACGGGTAAATACACATACAAATAGAATGACAGCGCAGGTTAGAACCAGGCAAGAGTAAATATACATACAAATAGAATGACCCCAGGCAGGTTAGAACCAGGCAAGAATAAATATACATACAAATAGAATACAGGTTAGAACCAGGCAAGAGTAAATATACATACAAATAGAATGACCCCAGGCAGGTTAGAACCAGGCAAGAATAAATATACATACAAATAGAATGACCACACCAGGTTAGAACCAGGCAAGAGTAAATATACATACAAATAGATTGACCACAGGTTAGAACCACACAATGGTAAATAATATACATGTACAAATAGAATGGCCACACACAGGTTAGGGCAAGGGTATATATACATACAAATAGAATGACCACACGCTGTAAGAACCAGGCAAGTAAGGGTATGTGTACATACAAATACATCAATCACACGCGGTCAGATTCAGGCAAGTAAGGGTATATATACATATAAATACGATGACCATACGCAGTAAGAACCAGGCAAGTAAGGGTATGTGTACATACAAATACATCGATCACACGCGGTCAGATTCAGGCAAGTATATATATACAAATAGGACAACCACACATGGTTAGAACCAGGAAAGTAAGGTCAAGCCTTGCCAACAAGAGTTGTGTGTCTGCAAAAAAGCTTGCCAATTCCAGGTGGAAAGCCGTGGCAACTGCGTGCTAGTACCTATGTTTGCCAAGATAAGACTCCATTGTATCGAGCAGACACTTGGAGTCAATGAGCACCACTTCTTCCCGGCAATCTTGCGACATCATCTCCCAGACGTCGATCCAACTGCTAAGGAGAGCATCTGGGATTATTAGAAGACATTTACTTCAGCACAGCAGAGCAACATGCTGTAACGTAGTCATCATTATCAGCTAAACAAACACCTTACAGATGACATAGACGCTCACCTGAGAAATATTTAAATAATGCTAATCCTTATTACACACTCATACTACTACGTATTATAATTATAATCATTACTATAGTGCAAACTCGAATTAATTGCATCATAACATCAGTAACACATTCGGGACAGACACAATGTCACGAATATATATATATGCATACGATGACAGGGATGTGCTTTCTGACTAACCTGGTTGGGCAGCGGGTTTTATGAGTGTCTAGAGAGTGCAATGCACATCTCTTGTTCTTCTTGCTCTTGGGTATCGACTCCACCATAGAACTGAGTTTGCACCTACACACCAAACAAAAGCGAGTATTGAGAGCCATAGGGCTTCAGTTAGTTCATGCATATGTGCTTCACTATCTTCCTCTGCTCTCACTTCTCACACCACCCCTCTCCGTCCTTCCCTCCTTCCATCACTTGATCACCCGCTATATATTTTCGCGCCTACACGTATATGCGCGTACGTGCGCGTGTGTGCGTGCGCGTATTGTGCGTGCGCGTATTGTGCGTGTGTGCGTGCGCGTGTGTGCGTGCGCCTGTGTGTGTGCGCGCATTGTGCGTGTGTGCGTGCGTGTGCTTGCGTGTGCGTGCATACGAGCGTGTGTTTGCTGCCGTGCCGCCTCACCATTACATGTTTGTATGAGCGCCGCTTCCGCACACAACATATAGGCGCGGGGCCGGTGGGTCTAGCGACCCCAGGAGAGAGACATTACATTATTGTGGGTTACATTTTCGATTACATTTTAGTGGGTAGGGTATGATCGCATGAGCAGGTGATATAGTCAGCTATATATATATATATATATATCCTCCGCTCACGCTCGGCTCAGCTCTTTCCACATCGTATCATATAATACCGCTGTCGGTAAGCCACAGTCTCCATGGAGCGCAGTGACAGAATCCAATTTCCAGTGCAGTGATAGTGACTGAACGTGGCGGGTTCACTGTCACATGATAACAAATCCAGCTGTTTCAACAGCGTAAAGAAATTTGATTATGTCAATCACAGCGTAGAGCAGCGCGGCTGTAACGTGGATAACGACAAATTTTTCCAGGAGAACGATGGTGCGAAAAAGCGCACAAAATGCCCCTGCGTAAAACCTTTTTCGTATATAACTGCATCACCATTAGTAGGGACGCGGTGGCTACGCGCATCAAAATAATTCGCTCTTGCGCGAGGAAAAGCAGACAATTAGATTGTGTGCGACGAAGAACTTTGTAGCGAGAGAGAACGAGAGAGAGAGAGAGGGAGAGGGAGAGGGAGAGGGAGAGAGTCCGCGCGCGCGTTTATCGCATGTAAATATGTAACGCAATCGATTAACTAAATTGCTCTGAGCGACATCTAGTTAGCGCACGCAAAAGTTGCGTAAGTTCGGCATTCAACATGCTCTTTTCTCTCAAGAGCCGCGTGCGTCAATACGGATTGCGGAGTGATACGGCGTTCGTGCGAAATTTGCCTAATTGCTCGGCTACAAATGAACAACGACGATGGTTTGACAAATAGACGTATGACATTTAATCTAAGCGCGTTCTTTGATATTATTTTATATTCGCGTTATATTATCATACAGCAATCAAATATAGCATACGATTATACGTAACGATTAGTCAGCCACTGAGAATACGTTTTCATTATTACAGCTGCACAAGCGCGCCGCACAAACACAAGCACGTGAAATAATCAACCATACACACACGCGCACGCACACACGCACACACGCAACTCACACACACACACACAACACACACACACACAAATCCCCACACCTACAGCACAACACACACACACACACACAGCGCTGCGCGCCGCGCGCACGCACGCACGCACGGCACGCCACGCCACGCAACGCACACACACACACACACACACACACACACACACACACACACACACACACACACACACACACACACACAAATGCGCGTAAGCCATGCAAGCCGATCCAGTATAGGTTTCTCGACAAAGTAGGCGTCGAATTTCATTAGCGCTATATTGTAGTTTTATAATTGTAGCTATCGCTAGTTAGCCGGCCAGAATAGGAAGGATATTTAGTTTCACCGCACGAGCTATTATTCACGACACGCAAAGCTGCTCTCGCCATTGATAAGTAAACCCAGCTTTTACAGTCAGCAAATAATAATGGTGCTTTAGATAGTATCGAATTTTTCAGACGCTCGTTATGCTGAAATAATAATGACTTGAAATGGTAGCCGCATTGTTAAAGCTATGGGAACGTGCTTTCCGTACTGCACACAGCGCACGATGACGTGCGCGTGTGCGTGCGCGTGTGTAGCGGTAATATATCATTTAAGAACATACACTCGATCGCGTGACGGTGGAACCGTGCAAATCTTCGTGGTTTTAATCTTAGTCGCGCTGAATTCCACCCGGCGCGTCGAGCAAGATTAATGAACGAACTATGTACTTTCTCTAATTGGTATAGGCTAGTTGCAAGCGAGCGTCCGCAGGGAAAATCAAATTGCGAGTAACGTTCTTCCACACCTGATGCCCGTCGAGAGTCTAACAACGATATTACACTTAAGCTAGCCGTCTCCCGTCGCCAAAAAGGGGAAGCAAACCGCAACCTACGTACGTGACGCCAACTTTCGTAAGAGTCTGTATTGCGCTTGCTCGAGCAACGAAGTCGAGCGAAGTCCAGCGAAACAAAGCGAACATGCCCCCACTCTGTATTTCGTGTGCTCGAGCAGCGAAGTCCAGCGAAGTCCAGCGAAACGAAGCGAACATGCCCCCGCTCTATATTTCGTTTGCTCGCACAGCGGAGGCAAGCGAAACGAAGCGAACATATCCCTCGTCTCAATTTCGCTTGCTCGAGCAACGAAGTCCAGCAAAGTCCAGCGAAACGAAGCAAACATACCCCAGTCTCAATTCTGCTTGCTCGAGCAACGAAGCCCAGCGAAGTGCAGCGAAACAAAGCGAACATGCCCCCGCTCTGTATTTCGCTTGCTAGCGCAGCCAAGGCGCGCAAGTTTAATAGCTCTTTTATATCGTTATATTTAACCCCCCCCCTTAATATCTATTTCATATCTAACCCCCCTTGATATCTAATTTATATCGATCCGCCCCCCCCCTTTATATCTTTTTTATATCACGACATTAAAGTTGGGAACGCTCCTAATAGAGCATCACCCGTAAGAGGGAATCGTTGAGTGGGCGCAGCCATCCGGCGCGCTAGCATTCACCATACATTCACTAAGTAATGGGGTTAGCCGCTAGAAACAGTTGCCGCTGGAGGGCAGCACACCTGTAGTGGTGCAAGATTATCCGCGTACTCGGATGCACACCCGGGCCTGGATACACTGTGGCGACATAATAAACTTACCGTACATTATCTAAAAGTAAATTTTATGTAAGAGGAGCGTCGACAAGTGTTCGCAAAGAAGATTTGATACAAAGGTAAGATTATGTTCCACGAAATACGTTGTTTTTATGAGTGATAATGCACAATTTTGGTCAGAATCGGCGTGTGAAATCTCGGCGGATGAACGCTTTTAGAAGCGGCTTGTAAATACTGTCTTGGAACGCGTTTTCCTACTGTATTCTAGATGTAGGTTAAAAATTTTCTTCGCATTATTGATAGAATTGTAAATGGGAGCGTATTCTAATAATGCGCTCCGTTCCTGAACGTAGACGGTATATCCAAAACATCTAGAGCCGAGGGCATGAACTCCCTCAATGCATGAATCGCCACACGAACAAAACCTCGCGACACTGAAATCGATTGCGGCATGTATCGTAGCCCAGTGTTTTTATAACCGCATAATAATAAGTTCAGGAGATAAGTTCTTATGTCGCAGGGATTATCGTGGGGAGTGGGGGCACTGCAGACTACAGCCCGGTTAATTACAGCAGTATAGAATGTTCAGAATCAACCGAGCTAAATTTCTCACAAGTGTCTGCGATCACAAATACATGTACATACACATCTTCGCATAACTGAAATTTATAAATCAATATTAAATTAGATTCATTTTAATATATCACTGTATAATGAGTGTGTTAATGCATGAGACTGTACTACTACACAGTTCCGTAAAGTCGGGCTCAGGTCGCCTTAGGACTCATCTAATTTATCGCCTATTGACATCGTAATAAACCTCATGGTGATTATGGGCTGTACACTGCCGATCAGTATTTATAGCAGCGACCAGATCGTAGCGTTCTGCAAGAAACGTAGAGTGGTTCGCGGCCCAAGTGTTTGTACCAGCACAAGCAGTTCTCTAGCACAAACAGAGCAAGCTTGACGCCGGGTCCAGTCTACATATAAAACGAGTACTTTTTATATTTTTAAATCGAACCTTTTTGTAAATACTGTAAATAAAATTTAAAATTCACAAAGCCATTGGACAGACACTTACACATGTGGCTACACACCTGAGTTTGACACACAAGGAATATCGACTGGGAACACGAGCAGCTGCTTGTGTTGCTTAGCCATGTGCCATCTTTGAATGACATCACCTTTGTCACCACCGACCCTGAAGACACCATTGCTGCTATGTGAAACCTGTTAGCTCTCCCATCACATTGGGCTAGCCATTTGGACAAAGTCGTTACGCAGGGCCACGTATTTTGAATCATGTTCACAATTAATCCATCACGTGTTTTTTATAATAAAGTTGAACATTAGGCTACTCAGTTACATGTATGCTGTTAATCGTTATTTTTATATACCATTTTGTTATTGACATTCACGGTGATAATAGTGGTGCATATGTGAAGTGGATGTTTATTCTTTTAAGTGTGCTCAGGAGTTCTGTAATGTTTATTGAGATTCACGGTGATATTAGTCGTGCATATGTGAAGTGGGTGGTTATTCTTTTAAGTGTGCTCAAGAGTTCTGTAATATATTGATTGAGATAAGCTACAAAGACCCAAGTTGTCATACAAATTATGTATATCTTTATTTCTAAAACGCGGCCATTTGCTACAGACACTAGGCATTACTGCTGACAATAGCTCGCCTAAAGTTAGAAATCATGAAGCACACCTTGACAAGTCTTCCACCGAAAGAAATTTTTTTTTCTGATGGGGCAGGTCTCTTTATAATATTTTAAATGTCTTGCTTGGACCAATGACCCTCTACACGAATCCTCTTAGATGCGATACGTCTATCCAAAACAACTGTCTCTGCATGAAGTTAGGAGGATATATACAAGGATTTTCCTTTCAGCATTGACGGCGTGCTCCACCATAGCTATCACTGACATAAGTAACAAGGCCTGTGTCACCTAATGTATACATGCCCCAACTTGGGTGACTCGCGGTTCTAGTACCTAGAGATGTTCGAGTTGTTCTGATATGTTGATCAAAATAGTCGCAACAAACCGATCGCCGGTGGTTATAAACTTACGCGACTAGCGGTTCTAGTACCTAGACACATCTGGCTATTTATTCGATTATAT